TGGTATTGTTGTTAAAGGCGCCCCCCCCCCCCCCCCAGTGTTTTCACCTACTGGTATTGTAATAGCAGCACTCTTGTACTTCTCAGATGGGTATGACTGGTCGTAACCTATTGTCTGACAACACGTCACTATGTATACAGTAAGGGATCATTTATACGGGTGTGCTCCTGGGAGGAATGCGTGCCGTGTTTAATTGCATGCAGCCGCCTGTACATCCCTATGGGGGGGACACGGCTATACGCCGACCGGTACATCCCTATGGGGGAGACACGGCTATATACCGACCTGTACATCCCTATGGGGGGAGACACGGCTATATACCGACCTGTACATCCCTATGGGGGAGACACGGCTACACGCCGACCTGTACATCCCTATGGGGCAGACACGGCTATACGCCGACCTGTACATCCCTATACGCCGACCTGTACATCCCTATGGGGGAGACGCGGCTATACGCCGACCTGTACATCCCTATGGGGGAGACACGGCTATACGCCGACCTGTACATCCCTATGGGGGAGACACGGCTATACGCCGACCTGAATATCCCTGCAGGTCTGGGTACACGGATGTGCAAGTTCGGGTCAGTGTGCAACTGCACAGGCTCAGGCTAAGTACAGGTGGCGGCACGCAATTACACGCTGCAACTATCCCTCCCCAGGAGCCAGGTTTGTGCGCGGGTGTGCGCGCCGTATGGATGGGAAACCCCAATGAATGAACACTGAAGGTAAAAACGAAACAAGGACCGAAAGGGAAGAACTCTTTATTTATAACCAACAAAAGCATTGCACTGCGACGACGGATGGAGGAACGTACCGTGCGGCCTCCTGGAAAACCTGCCCAGTGTCCTCCACAATGCGCTTCTTGAAGCTTGAATGACCAATGGACAGGCTCGATCACAGTTCAATATGGGGGGGAGGCCATATGCTGATGTTGACTCATCAAGGTCGGTATTAATATAACATTTTTGGAGCGCAGGAGTAGAGGTGAGTTGGCAAACCAGTAGATACAACACTGCTACAGATGTGTTAACTAGGAACGCCAGGATTCTTTGATATGAACCCTTGCATTATTATATTTCAAAGATTGAAAATTTCAATATAATAGCTAGTGATGTCCTGATACCACTTTTTTAAGACCAAGTACTGTCCCTCGATACTTTTTCTTAAAGGGACATGTGACCATTTTTTTCTAAAACAACAGATTGATGATTTAAAAGGCAGTTTCCCACCCAGAGCAGAAGACACGGACCCCAGAGCAGAAGACACGGACCCCAGAGCAGAAGATACGGTCCCCAGAGCAGAAGACACGGCCCCCAGAGCAGAAGACACGGCCCCCAGAGCAGAAGACACATCCCTAAGATAGAATATTATTCTGCTTTGGGGACGTGTATTCTGCGAAATAATCTCAACAAGCTGTGTGTTGATCTCACCCGGGCGACATGTGGACATCTGCAGTGGCTCTGCGGGCACTCCCCCTCACCGGCGATGCTGGGCCCCCGGGCTCTTTCATCGACATACCGTCAGCAGACCATCTCCGCTGCTGGGCCCCAACCTTTCCACTGGCTCCCGTCCCAGTCCTCCCGTCATTGGGAGGCGGGACCCCACTATCCTTGAGCCCTGTGGCTGCACCGCCAGTAGTTCCTCCCCTGGGGCCGTCCATGGCTGTGCCTGCGCCGGGAAGGATAGGCAGCGCCATGGACAGCTACTTGCAGGTCCCCGAGGTCTCCACAAGCGTGGGAACTCAGCAGCTGCAGCGATTAATTTTTTTTTTTAAAGGGCCGGTATCGGCCTTAAGAATCAGGGCATTGGTATCGCCTGGGATCGGAACATCCCTACCCGCAGCCTCTTCTTCCCTGGTAGGGTCAAGGGACCAGTGACGTCACCGCGTCTATTAAACGCAAGCACGTGGAGGGCTATACCACAGCCCGAGCGGAGAGGGACAGAAGTGAGCGGCCACTGGCACAGGACTGAGGATCAGGTGACCACTTAACCCTTGCAGTGTCTTTCATAGGATGTTCCTGACACACAACTGGGGACTTCTACTGATATAAAAGGCTACAGAGCAGTTGTGGGTCGAACATTTCTACAAATCGGATTATTTTCCCCCTCTAATGTGTTCTAATAGAAAGGCTTTCGGCTCGCTCAGGAATGCGCCAGAGCGCCCGCGTGCGTCCTAAGATGTGCTGCAAATGCCGACTCGTCAGCAAAACCCTTCTCGCATTCGGAACAGGAAAACGGTTTCCCCTGCGTGTGGGTTCTTTCGTGCGTAAGTAGTCGTCTCCTCATGGAGAAACTTTCCCCGCACTCTGTGCACGAGTAAGGCGTCTCCCCCGTGTGAATTCTTTGATGCGCTACGAGCGTTGACTTCCGGCTGAAACATTTCCCGCACTCCTCGCAAGCATTCACCCCCATGTGAACCTTCTGATGTTCGGTAAGTTGCCGTTTGCAGGAAAAGTTCTTCCCGCACTTGGAACACGGATGCGGGCGGTCCCCGGAGTGCGTTCTCTGATGGGCGACAAGGACCGATCTGACGGCGAAACACTTTCCGCATTCCGGGCATGTGTGCGGCTTTTCCCCCGTGTGAATCCTCTGGTGCTTAATAAGATATTCCCGTGATGAAAACAACTTCTTACAATCCAGACACGAATACGGCTTTTCCCCCGTGTGAGTCCTCTGGTGCTTAAGAAGCCGGGTCCTGCAGCGGAAACTTTTCCCGCACTCAGGACATGAAAACGGCCTTTCCCCGGTGTGTATTCTAGTGTGCGAAATCAAAGACTGTTTTAAGGAGAACGTTTTCCCGCACTCGGAGCATACGTACGGTTTCTCCCCCGTGTGAATCCTGCCGTGCATTACGAGAGTCGACTTCCGGCTGAAGCACTTCCCGCACTCGGAGCATGGGAACGGCTTCACCCCCTGGTGAGTCCTCTGATGAGCGGTGAGATTCCCGTTGTGGGTGAAGCTTTTCCCGCACTCGGGACAGGAAAACGGCTTCTCGGCGGTGTGAATTCGCTTGTGGATGATAAGGGAGGATCTTTCGATGAAGCACTTCCCGCACTGCGAGCACGAATACGGCTTCTCGCCTCTGTGAATTTTCTCATGCTTGGCGAGGGATGATTTCCAGGGGAAACCTTTCCCGCACACGGAACATGAATATGGCTTCTGCATGGTATGCAGTCTCTCGTGGGAGAGGAGTTCCGCTCTTTCGCTGAAATAGTCACCGCACACAGTGCACGGGAACGCTTCTCGCTTGCTGAGCGCCGCTTGTTGGATGACGAACTGTATGTAGCCGGATAAATGCTTCCCGTGTGTACTGGATGTCAGGGCTACAGGTGGTAAATAGAGTTTTGGGGTGACGTGGGGTCCTGCTAAAGGATTGCACGGGGGGACATCTTTTGATCCACAAACTGGAGGCTGATGCTCTGTATTGTGTCCATCTGGAACAAATAAATGGGGGGGTGGGG